CACATTCTCCCCGTTTTCATGCTTGATTAACTTGCTACCACATTCCATCGGGGTGCCAACTGGATTGGCATCATTCATATTGAACTTCTTAATGACTTCTTTGGCATAACCTTCTTGGGTGATGAAAATTCCTTTGTCTTCTTGCTTTACTTCGATGCCAAGATAATATGCCATGAACCCCATATCTGTCATCTCAAATTCATTTGACATGTCTTTCTTGAACTCTTCGAACATGCTTGGATTGTTCCCTGTGAAAATCAAGTCATCTACATACAAGCACACAATTGAAATATCTCCACTTTGTGCTTTGATATATAGTGCATGCTCATATGGGCACTTGATGAAGTTCTTGTCTTGAAAGTACTTGTCGATTTGAACATTCCAAGCTCTCGGTGCTTGCTTGAGACTGTACAATGCATTCTTCAACTTCAAGACTTTTTCATCTTGCTCTTTTACTTCATAGCCTAGTGGTTGCTCGATATAAACTTCTTCTTCGAGAGAACCATTCAAGAAGGCTGATTTCACATCCATTTGATAGATCTTCCATTCATTTTGGGCTGCCAAGAAAATGATCAGTCTAATAGTTTCAAGATGAGAAACAGGAGCAAATACCTCATCATAGTCAATTCCTTGTCTTTGACTATAGCCTTTCGCCACCAATCTTGCTTTGTATCTCTCTATATCCCCTTTTGCATTCTTCTTTTCCTTGTACACCCATCTTACTCCAATTGCTTTATGTCCTTGTGGAAGTGTAGTAATTTCCCATGTATCATTCTTCGTGATAGACTTAATTTCTTCGTCCATGGCGTCTCTCCACTTTATGTTTTCTACCGTTTCTTGATAGCTTAGAGGCTCACAATCACCAAAAAGACAAAAGAGGTTAATACATTTTGGTTTTCGATTACCTCATAAAGATCTTCAATGCTCCTTAGTCGTGGTGTCTTCTCACTTGAACTTGTTTCATCCAACCTTGGTGTCGGTGAGGAAGGTGGTGTAATATGTTCCTCTATCATTGGTTGTTCCATTTCTTCTTCTTCTTCTTCTTCTTCAAAGTAAGGAAGAAAACCATACTTGTCTTCTTGAGCACTCCAATCCCAATGATCTTTTTCGTCAAACTCCACATCACGACTTATGATGATCTTTCCACTATTTGGGTTATAAAGCTTGTACCCTTTAGAGCTTGAGTCATAACCCACAAACACATACTTCTCACTTTTATCATCGAGCTTTGTTCTTCTTTCATCTGGAACATGGGTATAGGCAATGCTTCCAAATACTTTGAGGTGAGAGATCTCAGGTTTCCTTCCACTCCATGCTTCTTGGGGTGTCTTTTCATGCACGCTTCTTGTTGGGGAACGGTTTGTCAAGTAAACTGCACATGCCACTGCTTCGGCCCAAAACTCCTTCGGCATCTTCTTACTCTTGAGCATGCTTCGTACCATGTTAAGTATAGTCCGATTCTTTCTCTCTGCTATTCCATTTTGTTGAGGCGATCTTGGCACAGTCAGTGGGCGAAGGATTTCATGGTCTTCACAATATTTGTTTAACTCATTTGAAGTGAACTCTCCTCCTCGGTCAGATCTCATGGCCTTGATGGAAAGACCACTTTCTTTCTCCACAAGGGCTTTGAACTTCTTAAAGTTGTCAAATACTTCTGACTTCTCCTTTAAGAAATAAACCCATATTTTTCTGGAATAATCATCAATAAAGAGGAGAAAGTATTTATTCTTACCAAACGAGTTGGGTTTAATTGGTCCACAAACATCCGTGTGTATGAGCTCTAGTGGCTTTGTCGCTCTTGACGTTGATTCCTTTGGAAAACTTTTTCGGAATTGCTTCCCAATTAGACATCCTTCACAGAGTTGGTCTGGGTGGTTGATCCTAGGCAAGCCTCTCACCATCTCTTTCTTCGACAAACGTACTAAACCATCGAAGTTGAGGTGCCAAAATCGTAGATGCCATAGTCATGAAGAATCGGTATAGCAAGCCTTGAGACACTTTGCTACGTCATTTTGAATGTTCAAGAGGAACATTCTATTTTTTGACATAGGCACCTTAACAATCAAGTTATGACTACAATCTCTTAAGAAAAGACTATGTTCTTTTAAGTGGGTGTCATAGCCTTTCTCTAATAATTGTCCCAAACTCAAAATATTATTCTTCATGTTAGGCACATAATAGTCATTGGATATGAATTAATGACTCCCATTCTTCAAGCGTATGAGAATTTTACCTTTGCCTTTGACCGGTATCTTTGAGTCATCTCCAAATGATACATCACCAGTTGCCGCTTCATTGATCTCTACGAACATGCTTCGATCGCCACACATGTGGTTGCTTACGCCAGTGTCCAAGTACCACTTATTTCTTTTCTCTTCAACTTCGTTTTGACACGCGAGTAGAAAAGTTTCTTCTTCTCCACCTTTTACTTCTACAAAATTAGCTTTCTCTTCCACCTTCTTCGAGAATCTACACTCGGTTGCGCAATGACCAATCTTGTTGTAGTTGAAACATTTGACTTGTGATTTATTGCTCCTCGACCACGAGGTTCCTCTTCCACGACCTCTTGTTGCTTGTGGATTCCAACTTCTTTCTCCATTGTTGAAGTTGTTGGAGTAGTTATTGCAACCGCCTCTTCCTTCTCCTCCATGTCCTCGTCCACGATATTGGCCACGACTTCGTCCTCTTTGGCTCTTGTAATTCGCATAGTTTGCTTCCTTTATGTTGAGTTGCAGTAATTGCTCCATAGCCTCCTTTTGTTTAATTTTTCTCTTTTGTTTTTCTTCGTATGCTTGTAAGGAATCCATGAGTTGCTCAATAGTCATGGTCTTTAGACCCTTATTTTCTTCAATGTTGATAACAATGAAGTCAAAACTTGGATTTAAAGTGCGAAGTATTTTCTCCATGACTTTCACATCATCAACATCTTCACCATTTCTCTTAAGTTGATTGACTACAACCAATACTCGAGAAAAATAATATGAAATTGACTCGGACTCCTCCATAAATAAAGGTTCAAAGTCACCTCTAAGAGTTTGAAGACAAATATTTTTTACCTGCTTAACTCCTTTGTTGCAAGTTTGAAGCTTGTCTCATGCTTTTTTGGCCGTTGTTGCGTTGGATATCTTCTCAAACGTATCTTCATCCATCGATTGATAAATGAGAAAGAGAGCTTTCTTGTCTCTCTTTCTTGACTCCTTCAATGTCTCTCTTACACCTTGGCTTAACGATGATTCATCTTGATCCTTGAAGCCTTTCTCAACAATATCCCACACATCTTGAGTTCCTAGTAGCGCCTTCATCTTGATACTCCAATTATTATAGTTGTTCTTTGTGAGCATCGATATTTGGAAAGGGAAACCAGCATTCGCCATTTTATGGATCTTGAAGCTCTGATACCACTTTGTTGGAAATAAATGTTAAGGAGAAGTGTGTGAGAATATTGAAGGTTTGAATATAAATTTGATAAGTAGGATAATTCTTTATGGAGGAGAAAAACTTTGTATTTTTGCTTGATACAAATATGTGAGATTACATCTCTATTTATAGTACTCTAAGGAGAACTCTAGACACACTAGTTCTAGAGAGTTCTCAACTCTAAGGATCCAAAGACTATTCTAGAAAATATTACAATTATAAGAAATATTTAGAGATTTCTAAATATTACAAGAATTCTCTAGAAAACTACTTAAGCCCAAAAATCAATTAATAAATTTAGACCCAAATCAAATTTAATATTTTCAACACTTTCTCCATTCTTCTCCTTACCTTTTTTAGTGCTTCTTATCGGGAAATCTTCCTCCTCGAATGATTTTTCATGCAGCTTTCCGGTCGACGGCGAAAACCCTAACAGAGGGTTTGACGGCATCATTCACACTTTTTTTACTTGTGTAAAAAATCACTGGATCAAAATCTTAATCAATAGCTAACAATCAATAGACTTAGAAATTTGTTACTTAAATTCTAAAATATAATGAACCAGCATGTAACAGTTGTCCCGAAATGAGACTAAGGACACGGTGCAAATTTCAAATTTCCAGACTTGCGGCAAATTTTAATTGAATTTAAGTTGGTGTAACTATGACTATAAGATATTATCTACTTTAGATGTAAAAATCTTCACAACTTTATTTTAAAAAAAATTCTATTATTAAAAATTATCCTAAGATTATTTAAGCCAGCACGAAACAATTTCGATTCATAATAAAATTATAGATATAGAGACATTAATATTCAGAACTTAATTTGATAATATTTTTAGACGGATGGAAAAACAAATTATCATGTCATTTTCAAAGCTTCCAAATAATAACCCAAATAAATATCTTAATTTAATTTGACCAATTCAACACGGTTAAGTAGCTGAACACTTTTTTTTTAATTAAGAAAAATAACATATTATTCCAAATTCACATGACAAAGTTAAAACAAGAATTATGTTTTTCAATTGAAATAAATATTATCCCATAGGACAAAATTAATAGCTACTAATTTCAGTAAGACAGTGAATAAATACTGCATTAAACCTTTTGTACACTTCTTAATGGATTTTTCACACATTCCATAAACATCACTATCTTTAATTTGCACACAACATTAATCATTTTCAATTTTTTATCACCATTATAAATTATATTTTCAATTACTCCTTTTCTATTATAGTAGAACAAAATCAGTAGAATACACAGCAGTAACTAATAATTTTCCAATTGAAATTACTTTTCTTTTCAACCAAAAACAAAACTTGGCATATTTCAATGTAATAACATCCATAATATGAAGGTAGAACAATATATGGTAAAAACTAAATCCCCCACTCTAGCACATATGCTTCTGAACAAATGTTAGTCGAGTGTCTGATACATGTCAACGTACGACACCAATATGTCATTGACTGATATGATTATCAATATCGACGTCAATATGTCATTGACTGATATGGTTATTAATATCGACATTTCAGTATCAGTGTTGTATGTGTTTCATACCTCTTCTCTCTTTCACTCTTGAATTCTTGGATGCTCCTCCCATTTCTTCATAATCTCAAGAAAAATTTCATTCCATGTATCAATAGCCCCTGGCAAACACCAATGAACACAATCATTTTGGACACGCTCTGGAACACCATTCGCAAACGGAAAAGGATACATATAAGGACCTGGATGACCATCTGGTCTCAACAATGCCAATTTAGTCACATCAAGTGCCTCAAACCTAATCCCTCCAAACATACCACCTCTCACCTTAGCATCTTCCACTTCTTCAACCTCAGTCTTCCTCATCTCACCATCCATTCCTTCAAGCTCCTTCTCTCTACTTCTATAAGGCCTAGTCTTTGAACAAGCACCAACTTTATCCCACTCACCTTCAAAATGAGCAGGCGAAAACGTCGTCACCATAACATCAACTTTCCCACCTTTACTCCCTCTCCTATCAATTACACTATTAAGACTAGTCCTCAAAGCCTTTCTCAAAACCTCATAAAACCCGATTTCGGTATGATTTAGACCAACACAATAATGACAACCTAAAACCAAATCACCCTCATAGTAAACCGCCGGATGCAAAAACCAATGACCAACCGAAAAAACAATCAAATCCATATGATCCATATCCTTAGCCCATCTCTCATCAACAAGATCCAAATACAACTTATTATGATTCAACCCTCCATTTGATTTCTCAACACCTTGCACAAGAAAAGGCGACCAATACACCGAAACACTAGCATTATGAGAATCAAAACGCCACTTTCTAAATTTGTTATCTTCGCCATTCGTGTAAACAAGATCAGGAGATGAAACAGTTGATAACATACATAAAAGCGACTCTAATTGGTTCCTAGCCATAGAATCTCCAACAAAAGCTACATGCTTGTTTTCAATATGTTCAAGAAAAGTGTTAGGTTCAAACCTTGGAAGCTTGCATTCATTTGGCTTCCATCTCCAGTAAAGATAATCAGAATCTGGTCTTCCATGTTTGATGCAGTTTTGTCCTTGTTTGATTGTTCCACATGTTGTTCCATTGTATAAAGGTCCTCTTCTGTCACGGATCCATTTTCCATTGAAGTAGTCACAAAGGGGGGTGTCAAAAGTATTTTCCTTTTCTGCAAAAAAGAACAGTCAAGAAAATCTTACATATCAAGAATTAAGGCAAAACCCATTTGTAAAAACATGGTTTTTAACTAGACGGGATTAAGAAAAGATGTACCTGAAGGAGGAGGTGTAGAAGGAAAAGAAGGGGGTGTAGAGTGTGAAATAATGGTGTTTGAGATGGAATGAGAAAGTTCAGATTCAGTGGATGGGAGAAAAGGAAGAGGGTAGAGGTATAAACTAAGGAGAGCAATGGGAAGAAGAGCATAGAGGGTCCAAGGGAAGAGTTTCTTGGTGAGGGAGTGAAAATGATCTTTGAATGGATATAAAGAAAAACCCATTTTCAAAGCTATGTTTGTTGGTTGTTTTTGGTGTTTTGAGATGAGATGTGAGAAGAAGGAAGAAAGTGGATGTAAAGTAGATTTTGTTTTCTTTTTTTACAGAAATTGTCAAAAGGGAAAGGTGGGACTTTGGGAGCATAGACAGCATGTTACTTGACTTGCTTAATTCAATTGTTAATTATTAAAAACTGTTTTGAATTATCTCCCTCTTTTTTCTTTCTTTGTATTAATGTTTTAAAAATTATATCTGTTATCAAATTGACGAGGGTGTATCACAATTTTATTAGTCGAATTATTGGATAAGTGATTGTATTGCATGATTAAATTAAATTAAATTGGATAATTAAGTTGAATGAATCAAATAACTCAATTGAATAAATTACTCTCTATAATAAAATAAATAGTTATTAAATCGGTCGAATCAGTAGACTCGATCTGTAAAAAAATCACGACACAACAAAATAATATAAAATATCATAATTTTATATATTCATTCTTTAAATTCAAATTGTAAACATACTTATCACGCACAACAAAATAGTACAAAATACAAATCAAAATAAATTTTGAACAAAATCTTATTACAACATAAACTAAATAATAAAATAAGTGTATTATCTACTAAAATTTATTTAAAAGAAGGAAAATAGTTCTAAAAAAGTTTTGAAGAAAGCCTACTTATATTTTAATTTTAATTTAAAAAAAAAAATCAAAACGACAAAGTTTTGTCAGAGAAAAAAAATTTTAATTTGTCGATTTATCAAAATCATCGGTTCGTCAATTTTTACAAATTTTGGTATGTTTTGGCCGATTTTCACTAGTTTAATAGTTTTTTCGATCCAATAATCAAAATAAACCAATGATCCTTCCGGTTCACAGTTCAACTAGTCGATGGAGTCCAATTTTTTAAAACATTATCACAACTTCTCAAATTTCTTTCTCATTTTTATATTTATCTAATTTTTCATATTTCCATATTTAATAGACAATTTTCATTACAAATATATTACTTTAAATAATATTATTTCTTATTTATAATATAATTTATAATTTCTTTTATGTTTAACCATATTAATATATAATGTCTGAATTTGTCTCTGACTAAAATAACAGTCATGGAAGAAGTATAAAACAACAATAAACTGTGTTGTTATTAATTTTATCTATTTAATTTAAAACATTAATATGATATTTATTGTTTTTATTATTATATTTTTATTTATTAACTTTCATTTTTCTTAACTATTTTTGTTTAATATAACCAAATTTAACACATAAGTCAAGATTATGTCGAAATATAATTGAATTTTTTGTTTTTAAATACACAAGTCAACTTAAATTTAATTGTCCACTCAATTTACGGTTATCTTAGATATAATTCCCTAAATTGATATACATGGTCGTCCAATTTGTTGGACAAACACTATGGAATTCTTATAAATCTAATATAAACAAATCCCTAATGTCATTTGCTTGAAGAATCATATGGTCAAGTCCAACCCTCTTATATAATAATGATTTGGAATTAGATTTACAATGCTTAAACACTACATTTCTCGTGTTTTCAATTTCTTTCAGCCTCTAGTGTATTTTAATAAATAATATTAATTATATTTTTAAAATCAATATATCTAATTTTTTTAAAATATAATCTACAATTCAAATATGACTTTTTGAGACACATGAAATAAATTTTATAGTATTTAGAATTATTTCCTATGTAATGATTTATAAATAAATTTGACTTTTTTGATATATTTAACTATTAATATATTAATTTATATATAAATTATATATATTAACTAACAAATATAAATAAAATAAAAAAGTTTACTTATAAATATCGTTACGGAAGAAATAAATCAGAAAGCATATGGAATATTTGAGTTAGAAATTGTAGCTATATAGCTTAATGTGAAAATAAGTTACTTTTACATCTTGAAATTATATCTATTTTTTTATTATGTCGGGTAAAAGCATTCATTCAAACGGAAAGAAGAGAAACAAGGAGTGACATCCGATACAATCACCAAACCAACTTCTAGAACCACAACTTTTAGCAAGTCCTACAAGTTTATTGATGGCGTTACTTGTCAATAAGATTTCAGAAATTATAATATATATATATATATATATATATATATATATATATATATATATATATATATATATATATATATATATATATATATAAACGTATCAATTTAACATGGTATCAGAGCAGAGGAGTAGAAATGGTCGAATTCTAAGAATGTAACATCCATAGTAACATAAATGGGTCGAGTAATAGGGTCATAACAACGATACACTTTCTGGTGTACACTATATCTAAAAAAAACAGCGAATGACATAAGGATCAAGCCTTGTACGTTGGTTTTTATGTAGGTGAACAAACATAATACAACCAAAGACTCGAGGTGGCAACATTTGTATTGTAGGCAACGATACAAATGTAGACAAGGTCTGCAACAGAGTTTTAAATTCAAGGACCTTCTATGGCATCCGATTAATAAGATATAATGGTGTAGTAACAACATCAGTCTAATGGTGGTGAGGGACATGTGCTCCATGTTAAAGAGCACATCCAATTCTTCTCTTCAGGGGGGAGACACCAGAAGAAGAGTCGAATTGGTCGACATTTGACTGATTCAAGGATATGGATATACCATCAACTTAACCTTTTGATGATTCTTGTCAAACTCAAACATATCATATAAGAACTGAAGTAGGAGTGTGCCCTCCTGAAGTTGAAGTATCAGAATTCCCCTCTCTCTAGTATCCAACGATCTATCTCCTAAGAATATCATTGAGGTGAGTTATCCTATATCTCCTAATAATAATAATATTGATATCTTTGTTAGCTATAAATTACCTCACAAGCATAATCAGGGAAAACCACCGAAGTGATACTCCGCTGAAGAAGAGGATCATAAATTGATGTATCCAACTGCTAATTATGTTTCTATAAAGGGCTTGTATGAACCCCTTAAGAAGTTTGCAAATGATTTATCTTCACACAGTGTACCTAGAAAGGTTGAAGAGGCCATTGAAGACCCTAGATGGGTTCAAGCTATGAATAAAGAAATGGAGGCATTAAACAAGAATGCAACATGGACTTTAGTTCCTTTTCCAAAAGAAAAGAAACCAGTAGGGTGTAAGTGGGGTTTCTCTATCAAATATAAAGTTGATGGGTCTATTGAAAGGTACAAAACAAGACTAGTAGCTAAAGGCTTTACAGAAACATATGGTGTAGACTACCAAGAAACCTTTTCACATGTTGCCAAGTTGAGCTCAGTCAGAGTTCTTTTCTCTATTGTAATAAATCTTGATTGCCCATTGCATCAGTTAGACGTAAAAAATTCCTTTCTCCATGAGAACTTGAAAGAAGAAATATATATGGATATCTCTCCAGGATACATGATAAATTATTAGACTAAAGTGGTGTGTAAATTGTAACGCAGTTTGTACGGCTTAAAGCAATCTCCTAGAGCGTGGTTTGGGAGATAAAACCTCGCAGTGAAAAAATATGGCTTCCAACAAAGCAACGCAGGTCATACTTTGTTCTTGAAACATCATCAAGGTAAGGTCACAACTTTGATTGTGTATGTACATGATATGATTATTACAGGAGACGACTCTGAGGAAATAGCAAAACTTCAAAAACAACTGACAACCGAATTTGAGATGAAAAATCTAGGTGGACTCAAATATTTTCTAGGTATTGAAGTTGTTAGGTCAAAGAAAGGTATTTTTTTATCTAAACGAAAATATATCCTGGATCTTTTATCAGAGGTTGGGCTACTAGACTGTAAACCTGTAAATACTCCAATTGCCCATAATCACCAACTTGGAGAAATCCAGACCAAGTGTCCACAGACAAAGGAAGGTACTAGAGATTAGCTGGCAAACTTATTTACTTATCTCATACACGACCTGATATAGCGTATGCGGTAAGTGTAGTAAGCCAATTTATGCACAATCCGAGTAAAGATCACGTGGATGCGGTAATTCGAGTCATGCGGTACTTGAAGTCATCGCCTGGAAAAGGCTTGATGTTCACAAAGAATAATCATATACAAGTTGAAGGCTATACAGACGCTGACTAGGCAAGAGATATCACCAACAAGAAACCCACCTCAGGCTATTTTACCTTAGTTGGAGAAAATTTGGTTACATGGAAAAGTAAGAAACAAAAGGTTGTAGCATTATCAAGTGCTGAAGCAGAGTTTCGAGGGAATGGCTAAAGATATTTATGAGCTTCTCTGGCTTCGAAGACTGTTAATTGGAATTGGATTTGCTCTGAATAGTGCGATGAACCTTTTTTGTGACAACAAGTCTGCAATTGAAATTGCTCATAATCTGGTTCAACATGATCAGACAAAACACGTGGAAGTAGATTGACACTTTATTAAGAAAATTTTAGAGACCAATATAATTCAATTTATGTTTGTTAAATCTGAAGATCAATTAGCAGATATACTCACAAAGGTAATATGTAGCAGAGACTTCTACAACGCACTTGACAAGTTGGGTATTCGAGATCTTTATGCACCAACTTGAGGGGGAGTGTTGGCGTTAGCTGTCAATAAGATTTCAGGAACTATAATAGAAATATAGTCATTAATTATTAATTATCCTGATTTTGTTATAATTAGAAATAGGGTTTTCCATATATATATATATATATATATATATATATATATATATATATATATATATATATATATATATATATATATATATATATATATATATATATATATATATATATATATATATATTCTTCTCTTGTAAAAAAAAAAAAATAGAAATAATGTGAAAGTATCGTATCAGTTTAACACTTATGAGCTTAAGAGTTTCTATATCTCTTAAAATGAGACTAACGGCCCTAGGAATGCGCTGATGCTTGGAGATGGCAAAAAAACCTTAATTGTCAAAGAATTTAAATCAATACATATGTTTTGATTGTGGCGGATTGTAAACAAGGACACCGGTATATA